TAGAAACTTGGATATATATGTAATTTCACATTTTTAAAGGTCAGGTAAGAGTAAATCAGTGAAAATCAAAGAGATTTCTCTTGAAGCTGTAAGTTCACTTGAAGCATTTGCTTAAATAAAAAAGATTTATTTATTTTCATTGGAAAGGCAGATTTACAGAGAAAGAGAAAGACAAATCTTCCAACTGCTGATTCACTCCATAAATGGTTGTAATGGCCAGAACTGAGCTAATCCAAAACCAGGAGTCAGGAGCTTCCTCCCAGTCTCCCTTGTGGGTGCAGGTGCCCAAGTCTTTGGGCCATCCTCCACTGCTTTCCCAGACCACAAGCTGGGAACTGGATGGGAAGTGGAGCAGCTGGGACATGAACTGGTGCCTATATGGAATGCTGGTACTTGAAAGAGAAGTCATAGGCCTGGTCCCAGAATTTATCAACTTTAAAAGTTGCTATGTTAAGACCTAATTAACCATACAGTTAATCCTTGGGTTAGATTTGTTTCCTGGCCTGCCTTACACACAGAAGGTAAACAAATATTTTTCAAAAGACTAAATGCATGAAAAGGTGGTGCACAGTTCTACCTGAGTGATTACTCAACCACGTCCTTCAACAGTCCTTACAGGCAGTGTGCCATCACCCACTGGCATCTTCTCCACTAATTTCAAAGCTAACTTGGCTATTTTGCTGAAGGTCTATTTCCTGTGTTTAGTTCTCCAGGTATGAAAAATTTTTTCCCCTTCCTGGACACCTTGTGATAAAAAGAATAAAATACAACTGTAATTTCCTACAAGATTTCCAAGGATAAGGAATTCAGTGCATGTGCGCACCTGTGTCTGGGTGTGTGTGCTGGTAAAGCACATTACAGCCTGTGGGAGTAATGCCTCATATAATTGAAGCTTTCAGTTTGACAATGAAATGCCTAGAATAACTTATGGTGATAATGCTATATACCTGCAAGAATTCTTTCCAAGATAATTAAAAATGTGTTATAGGTTTTATTTCAGTAATCTCCATAGTGGTCTTGGGAGTTGCAGGCAAGCAAATATTATTAACCCTATCCCACAGGACAGAGGGCAAATCAAAAAGTAGCTTGGTCAGAACTTTACTGTAGTAATTGTTAGTTCCACAAAACAACAACCCCAAAGTGGAAGGTGCTTGCTATACATTTGAAGGTATGGCTTTCAACAGTCATTCTCTCACTAGATATCGATGGTTTTAAAGCTTGTTGTCAGCTCTGACTACTCTAACTTCTAATCTCCCATTTCCCCCATGAGCCTCCTCCTATTCCAGCCAAGATGACTTTCATTTGCTAACTTGAATTCAGTACTAAATGCCATCTTTTCCAAGATTAATCCAAACACATTCTACGCTAAATAACTGTTCTCCACATCTTCTGAATTGTTATCACTCCCTGCTTTAATTTTACAAATTTAATTTAGATCTACATTTATGTTAAAGTAACAAGCATACAGCATGATACTGTGTCCTGGCAATAATGTCTGGCAAACTAGATGAAGTTCTTTCACTTTATTCATTGTATTTCCTTCTTTAGATAACTGCATGATATGAAATACAAGGGCTTAAGTAACACCTTTCACTTCAGTTCTTCCCAGAATTTGATAATAATATTATTAGTCATATTTTTTTGGGGGGGAGGGGTTCAGAATCCTTAAAAATAGAGTAGACATCCATTTACAACCCTGGGCATTGCACTGGAACTGGTTCTCAGCTGCTCTGCCACTTCCTGCCAGTGTATTTTCATCTGACACTAATACTTCACTGAATCAACAGCTGTTAGATTTCTGACTCAAATAATATGCTATTATCTCATAACCACTGAAAGCACTCCTCTTCCTTTCCTTTCCCCATATGGGGTAATTTCCTAGTAACAGTTCAATGCTTATAGTTTTCAAGACTCAGAGAAGAGTCACTTAGTTGGCCATTCTGAACCAGGAGCCACTCCTTTATGTCTCTTGCTCAGTACATCAATTTTGCTGCCTCAATGAATAATTGTACAACAACAAACATTGTAATTTAAAATCTAAAATAGTTTGTGGATTTCAAGGTATTTTAGGCATAAAGGCAACATAGAGATGATTATTTACATGAAACAAAAGATTCAAGCAATCAATACACAGATCAAAATGATCTTAAAAAGATTTTTCTATATGGTTAAGTCTCAGATCAAATGAACAAAGACAAACCCCTTTCTTTTAAGAATATTTCAGAATACAGATCCCTTCATGGTGTTTAGGAAGTCTATTACGACTGGGCATTTTTGGTGGAAGACATTTTGAAGCATGTCACTATATTCACTGGTCACACCTTCTAGGATCAATTTTAGAATAATTGTTCCAAATTCTAAAAATTCAAAATTTCTCTCTCATCTCATATCCTGCCAATTTTGTTATAAAAACATGAGTATGCATTTTATCTGCCTTATTCTGGTCTGCTTGCAAATATAAGTGCCTGAAATTTTATGATCACGTTCGCGTATCTGGAATAAGACTTTCACAGACATCGCAGGTACTAAGCAAAGTCCTGAGAAATCTATGAGGAAAATTCTCACAGATATCAAAAAGTATTTATGTACAACATTACTCATATAAATTTCACTGCTTTATTATTTCAATACCTCCAACTGTTTTCAATACCTTCCCTAAGTATTCCTGAGATACGAGATAGGGGAGACAGATGCTGTGTTCTCAGAGAGGGTTCTAATGCTGCCACCTTCACTGCAGACTTTCTTCTCCCCTAAAGTTCACTTTGAAGTCAGTTAACTTTCTTTTGTTTTCTGTCTCTTTCCACAGTTCTCAAAATATAACTATGTACCACTGAATTATTTTAATTGCCTATCAAAACTCAGCATTTTAAAATGGATTAGGAGAACTTCTCATTGGGGGGAAAAAAGCCTAAGAGGCAAAACTTCAGGCAAAGAGGAAAAATTTATCTTTTTGTTTTGCTAGAATGTATGAGTTCTACAGACCATGACTTGGTTCTACATGTATCTCAAAGTTAAAAATAATGTTAAGGGCCCAGCAGAGTAGCCTAGCAGTTAAAGTCCTCGCCTTGCATGCACTGGGATCCCATATGGGCACAGGTTCTAATCCCTACAGCTCCACTTCCCATTCAATTCCTGGCCAAGGAAAACAGTCAGGACAGCCCAAAGCTTTGGGACCCTGCACCCTTGAGTGTGGGAGACCCCAAGGAGGCTCCAGGGTGCTAGCTTCAGATCGGCGCAGCTCTGACTGTTGGGGCTACTGAGGGAGTGAATCAACAGATGGATCTTCCTCTTTTTCTCTTCTCTTCTCTGTATATCTGACTATCCAATAAAAAAAATAGACAAATCATAAAAAAAAAAGAATGTTAAAATGTGTTGGGACTAAAACACTGCCATAATTTAATTTGTAATGAAAATCAATGCTGACCTTCCCAACTCCACACTTTCTTAGAAATAGCATGAGTCAATGTGAGTGGAAAGGTCAAGTGTGTATTATTAATCCAACAATCACCTTTGGAACATGTTTGGGATACTCTACCCCTAAGCAATGGTTAGTCTGAACTGCTGTTAGCTACTGAAATGATGTCTGACAATACCATTGTGTCAGGAAGTACCACATGCTGAATAACAGGCATGCAAAGGCATAAGGTGACACCTATGTTTTCCAGTTAATGGTCAGCACAATGTAAATACCCATCAGTCTAACCATTTTACACAGTTTTTGGTTACATTCAACAGAAGCAAAATAAACTTAGAGTGTATTAAACAGTGAGTAACTATGGATCCCAAATAAAAATTATAACTAATAAAAGCCTTAAATAATGTAAATAGCTCATCTAATTGAACAAGATTCATCTGCAATCTATATGACATGCTTATACTTTAAAACAAAAATAAAACAAACAAACTAAGCTCCGCAATAAAATTCAGCTAATGGCTCCCTTAATTTAACAGCCTTGCTGGTTAGAGTTTGAAAATTATCATCTTTAGACCCCAGATGTGGTAAAATAACATGACCTGTAGGTTAATTTGGCCTCTCTTGAATGGCCCTGGAAAACATAGGAATTCGACAAATGTAAATTATTGTGGTTAACTGCCACTACCTGCCCATCAGTCATATGGAAAAAACATTTAGCAGAAGCAGTCCAATAACTAGATAAGGAAACCAAGGTCATGAGGGCTCAGGTCTTTTTTCATTTTTCATTGTAAAGAACAAAACAATCCTTTATTGCTAGGTTTTCCAGTTTTACAACAGGGGAATTTGTAATTAAGGGACCAACAGCTTCATTTTTTTTTCCACTATTAGCTTTCCATAGTAACTAAGTAAGAACTCACAAAGGCAGCAGATGAACTATAGGATCTCATTTACATATGCATAACATATTCATGGTAAGCCCGGTTCTCGGTATGCGAAATATCTTTTTATTTTTGTTGTTTGTTTTCATCTACTTGGAAGAAATAGGGAGAGTAGAGGTAGAGAAATTGTCCATCTGCTGGCTAATTTCTACAATGTCTGCAAAGGCCAGGATTAGGCCAGCTTGAATGAAGCCAAGATTCTAGAATTGCTATCCAGGTCTTTAATGGGGGTGGCAGGGCTTTAAGAATTTGGCCATTGGTCTCCAGGATCAATCAGGAAGAAGTCTGATCAGAAGCAGAGTAGCCAGTAATCAAACTGATACTTTAATATGGGAGGCGGCCATCACAGCAGTGACAACCTGGCATGTGACAACACATACCTCTCCATACATTGAATTTCTTCTAAGTTCCCACAGAACTGCAGAATCTGCCAGTGTTTTTGTACTCTTGGTCTTATTTATATCACTTCTGTTACCCTCAACGCACCAGATGCACCAACAGATCTTAATGGGAACAATGACAGTCAAGTTTGTTCATGAGCTGTAGATAGTTATACTGCAGAGATCACAATATAAATAGCATATAAAATGGCTGTATTCTCACCCTCTTGCATGCGCAGAGTGGAGAGGGACAAGGGACTGACTTACCTCTGGTGTGCTGAGAGCATGTTCTCCAGCTAATAGCAGCATGCTCAGGCCTCCCATCTGAGTAGGATCTGAGTAAGGTGAAAACATCAATGTATAAGCATAAAATTCATACAATTCATAACCATTTTAAAAAAAAAGAACACTCAAGCACTCAGAAATCCAATAGAATCACACAAGAACATACAACAAGAACATGCTGAGGGCTCATGCTTTTGTGAGCCTTTTTAGCTGCCCTGTTGCCCTACCATTCTAACACAGCATTTTCTCTAATACCACACCTGTTTATAGCATGGGTGTCTGCTAAGGTGAGGCTTCTTTCCTTACTGTACAGGGAATGTAAACAGGAATAAAAAGCAACACAATAAGAGTGCCTATGCTTGTCTTCCAGGAAACCTGAGATTGTTATTCCTACCATGTGAAATCAGAATTAACAAAAGAACCAGGTTGGAGAATGAAGCAAATTACCAAATGGGCCTCCAAACTCTGGTGGACTTGGTTCAGATAACTCTCCCTTAACACTGTCCGAATAAATTTACACCAAATAATGTATTATCACATTTTGAATCTTAATTGTAATTAGGTTTCTGCTCAAAACATATTCAAGATTTAAAATTGATCTTTTTTGTTATCATAGGTGCTTGTTTTCATTCAATAATTAGCAGAAGCAAAGACAAAATAAAAATAGTGAATAGATCCATAACTCAAGTTGTATCTAAACAAAGTACTCAATAACAAACACTAAATCTCATATGAACATATGAGAAAATGCCTTACTCAATAAATGTGTACTTCACAAATCTCTCTATGATCGAAAATGAAGAAAAATTTATGTTGTTAAAAGACATTCAGTTTTTTTTCTTTTTTTTTTCTTTTGGCCAAATGTATGTCTCTAAGTACATCTGTGTGCACAAGCTATCCTGACATTTTACTTGCAACTCTTTCTAAATAAATTTTAAAAATCCTCAAAAAACTTGAGTTGTTAGAGACACAAATATGTAGTCAAATGATCAATTAGTAATGAAACAGCTCAATTTTGGGGAGCAGTGACATAAATACACACACAAAACACACAGTAATACTGGCTGATTAGATGAAACAAAGCCCTCTGGTGTTGGTGTAAGATTCCAAACTTAATTAAATATAAAAGCTTAAAAACAGTTGTGGCTGCTAAAATAGATACTTTATTTAAAACTCGAAGGAAGGACTTGAACTTAGTAGGAAGGAAAAACAAATTTGGTATTTTAGACTATTTTGTGGATGTTATTCTAATAATTAGATTGGATGATAGCATAAGAAAGATAGAAACATGCTAATTCAAATTACAAAGCAAAATGATAAATGCAATTTCAAAAGAGGTTATCTATCAATGTAATTTTGTAAGACGTTTGCTCCACAGATCCTAAAACCCAAGCCAAAAACTTACCATTAGGCTTTATGTTGATTTAGTTATATAATGTTTACTGAGTTATCAAAAATATATTCACACAAATAGCACACTTTCCTTTTACCAATATGGTTTATATTACATAGTGTTCTTTGCCCTCCTTGGAAATCATGTACAGAGTTGACAACTTTGGGATTACCCAAAATTGTAAAAGGTCAAATCACAACAGCTAGTGAGCAAAACAAACCAAAGAGAATCCATGTTGAAGGAAAAGCTGGCTTAAGCCCTAAAGGGTCTCCAAATCCAGATAGCTGAGTACCAGGTTTAACTAAAGGCAAATTCATTCACTTTCATGTTTCTGAAAAGAACCAAGAAATGTCACACTAATGCTATGAATTATATACAGACTTAACAAGAGCTCTGATCCTGGATTTATAATGATAACAAGCCATTATCCAATGAGACCCCATTTTCCCTCTTTCTTGTACTTTGCCTTAAAGCATATGCTTTTAAAAGCTGACTATAATCATTCTGGTTGAAATCTAATTTCTACTTTCACTTTGTAGGTGAAAGACTAATTAGTAAAGTATCGGAAACAACACTCAAAAAATACATCTTTCATAGTTTTCTGTGGTTTACCTACAGTTACTACTTGGTTTGTGAAGAGCAGATATATACAAGAAAAAGAAAAAGTCCTACACACACTGACACTGATCTAGATTTCAAAATGGAAGAAAAATAATGAATGCTAAATGGTTCATTAGAAGCCAGTCATCCACACTCCCCCTTTTTGGTCCTGATAATAATATATATTATATTATATATTATATATATATATTATATATCTTTTATATATATATATATATATTTTTTTTTTTTACAAAATACTCCAAATGGTGCAGTCTGAAAAATCCTCCAAAGTTCAACCAGACCAACTACAAGTGGAAACTAAAATTGTTCAACATGACAGCTAAAATAGGTTTTGAGATGTCTGGAGGATGTGAAGTGCCATTTTGGAAGCTTGTTTAGAATTATCCTACACACACACACATAACAGACACCTGAAGACTTTATTTCTCCATAATGCTACCATTAGCATTAGACTCATCTCTTAGCATTTATACAAAGGACTGTCACAAATTTTGTATACCCTGAAACACACACTGAACTATGATATGAAGTATTGTTTGCCCTCTATTAAAAAAAAAAAACTGTCATCACGATGTTGCTTAATTTGTTTTCCCAATTTCTGCATACTGAGAATGGTTAGCACTCTGGTTTTGAAGAAAACTTGTTTGCAACACTGAAACAGAACCTCAAGGCTCCACACACCAACTTTACTACCTCGCCCTGTCCAATCTTCCTGGCAAGCTCCTTTTCTGATTGCTGCACTGCAGTAGCTAGAAAAACAGAGCCATTTAAATGATAAATATACTTTACTTCATGATAATAAAATAGCATTCCTTTCCACCCAAAGTATATTCAAGGTCTCATAACAAATGGGACCATCTGGAATTTTACATCTGTCTGAAATGAGAGGTGGATTGGATGAGAATTCTAAGGCACAGATGTCAGAATCATCTCAGACTTGTGATGAAATTGTTCATGCTTTTGTCCTCAGTGTTTCAAGTATTCAAGTGATCTTCCTAATTGTGGCTTTAAGTATCCATGATAACTAAGGTGCCTACCGGGATAACTTAACAGTGTGTGGGCTAGGTTGTTAATACGATGGAATTTCCTAAGTTCTGGACAATATCCACATTACTGTCTGCTTTTCCAAATTGTCAATGTTGACAACCAAAATATAATGAATTCTACCATTCAGTTTGTATCTCCTTTTTAAAAAAATTATATGTAAATCTATCTGCATGCATTTCAACACATTACGATATTCTATATGTACCATTACTTCACACTTCATACATCATTACTTCATACATTTTGCTTGCCTGTTACTTATAAAAAATACAGCCAAAAAGCATCACCTGGCCTAGAAAAACAGGTAGAAACTGTCTAAACTTACCAGCCATTCCAAAGTTAAGTTGAGGTGTTTCTTCAGTCTTGGCTTTCTTGGGACTAGGCAAATCTCGTGAAGAATCAGATGGGAAGGCCCAAAGCTTTTTTCGTGGGTTGACAGTGGATGTTGGAGATTTCACAGGCTTGTTTGTGGTGGGACACCATTTGTAACCAGGATTTGCTTTCATAAATGCATCTTTATACTATAAATAACAGAACAGACGGCAGATTTCCATTAACATATAGATTGAAAAAGTTCTAATAGCCTTCACCCCATTGCCCCATCCTGACGATGAGGAAAGTACCATGGCTTTCCTCATGGGAAGTGACAACGTCCTAGTACAGAGCTCTACAGACAAGGACTTGATGTTCATTTACTAGAGAAAACAACGTGCAGGATGAGGGTATAAAGGACGCGTACTTCCTATCTTTAATTTTCACTTTTTGCTTTTATGATAAAGACGTGTTGTACATAATGGAAACAGTTAAGGGCCCTGGAGAGAACGAGCACAGCGCAAACCCCAGCATTTCCCCATAGGGGATGGTGATCAAAATCAGAGGTGATCTACCTAGGCCTCAATCTTAGGTTGCATGAACTGAGGCAAACAGCATCAAATGTGTAGTGTTATACAGTGCAATAACTGCTTTAAAGGACACTTCAGAGTGTGAGCACCAGGGCCCATCAACAGACTCTTCTCATTACTTAACTCGGTAAGCATGTTTTGATATACTAGTAGTAAGACACATCCAAGTATTTAAAGGACAAAGGACCTGATTATGCATTAAAGGAGCCAAGATCATGGGTGGAGAGGGGAACATGATAGGCCTTTTTCAGTTATTTGAAGCATAGAGTCACACAGATAAAAGAACATTAAGTGCAGGTTAATGATGACTACGTTCGAAATGCATGTCTGCTTCAACTAGTTGTGAATATTATTAAATTGCTTAAGCTTTCTCAGCTTCAAGTTCTCCATCTATTAAGTACAGTTGTACCTAATAAGGTCCCAGTGTTCTGTAATGACTGCCCACGACCGAGTACAGAAACAGGTTCTGAAAGCTCTCGAGTACTAGAGGCAATTAACCCACCACCAACATCATCCCTTACTTGGTTCCAACCTTCACTGACAACAGTTTTCTCTATCCTTTCTCTGGGGCTTTCTCCCTGCTCTCTTCCCAAACTCTGCTCTTTCCTCTTTGGTGATAACATTAACCATTTTCATGCTACTTACTCCTGATAAAAATGTATTTTCCATGTATTCTTAAACTATTTTCTGTTATTACTGCTGCATATTTTAATGCAATCTTTTCAATCCCATAAGCTTGCCTTTTAAAATGCCAATTCTAAATAGCTTTTACTTTAACTCAGTAGGAAGAAAAGGGTCTGTTTTAAACTTGTGTAGTAAGAGTATACAAGGGTATTTCAAAAACTTCATGAAAAACAGAACATGCAGTTTCTGTAAACTTTTTGAAGAGCCTTCATTTATGCAGGCTAAATTAATTCTTTCAACCATTTCAATTTATATAATATCAATAAAAACTATAACAGAGATGATGCAATATTACTAGATAATGGCCTAGAATGATCCCACAGTTACATTAACTCAAATCTTATATTTTTATTTTTGATATGAAAGATATAAATGAACCTGCCTATTGACACTCAGATATGCATAAAAGGAAGATAAGGATGAAAAGAAAGATTTATTTCCATTTTCCTCAGAAAATAATGAAAATGGGACCCAACGCCAGAGGAAAAACTAAAATTTACCATCACCTAGTGGAAAATGTGTTTGTAGGTATCAGCTGTGATATAAACGGTATCCTACCATAATACACTTATGTGCATGGAGCTGACAAATAACCTTGCCTGATGTCTAGAAGTAAAGTGACAAATGGCTGGGTGAGGTAGAAATAAAAGTAGCAGACACATGCATCATTACTGTATTCTAGTAAAAGGCACATGGTCTGGGGTTGTGAAATGAACAGTCACTTGGACAAAGGTCACCACTCTATAAAGTGCCAAAAGACTTTCAAACAAACTGATTAGCATATTCATCATGAAAAACAAAATTATCTCTTAAATACTCCCTTTTCTTCTTCTTCCTCATGTTGATCGGCTAGATATTGTTTCTCAGCAAGATGTTATACACTTTGCTAAGAATCATTCGGCAATTTGCCTTTGAAAATCAGTAAGTATAATGTCGATGATAATGTTGTCATTCTTATGAATCTTTTCTTACAGCATCAACTATTTTTAAAACGCTGATGACACTAATAAACACAAGCATCAACTAATTCATAATCGGTAGCTGATGCTAACAGCAAAGTAAAGCACTGACAATCATCACACCTCAATCATCTCTCTTTCTCCTGCATGTATGCCTCAAAGCTGCAAATCAAGTTATACATGAACATTGAAGAAATGACAGACACTGAGCTACTGGAGAGAGAAAAGAATATGAAATAGAAAAGTTGCTGCCTTTGTATTATCATCCACCCTGAGCAAAACAAACATGGCATTTCTTAAGTTTTTCCCCAAATTCAAACATGAAAAATGTTTTTACAATAGGTTTGTAAAAAGGCATGCTAACTGACAATGGAATAACAGAGAGCAAAAGATGTGGAATTTGTACACTATTAAGAAAAATCAAAATTGAGTATTTACTTTTAGGGCCAATACTCTGTAACTGTACTTCAACATTAATCTTATAGATTCTTAAACTCAAGGTAAGCATTCAATACATTCAATATCATGACAATATTAGTTTAACCCAGCATGTGTTAAGCAGAAGGGTTAAGAAAGGGGAGGGGCTGAGTTGTGGCACAGTGTATTAAGGGATTGCCTGCTTGTTAACATCCAATTTGAGTGCCATTTGGAGTCCCAGCTGCTCCACTTCCAACCCAGCTCCCTGCTGCTAATGGCCTGGGAAAGCAGCAGAAGATACTCCAAGTGCTTGGCTCCTTGCACTCATAGGGGAGACCCAGAAGACATTCTTAGCTCCTGGCTTTGGCCTGGCCAGAACTGGCTGTTGCAGCCATTTGGAATGTGAACCAGGGAATGAAAAACCTTTCTCTAACTCTGCCTTCCAAAATAATAGAACAAATCTTTAAAACAAGAATGTGAGAGGGACAGATAAAAGAATAACATACAGTCTGGGTTTTTACGGACTTAGGAGCTCAGATGTAGACATCAGAGCAAATTGTGCATACAAGCAGTGTATGCACTCAAGAGTGGAAACACGTATTTGAGAAAGGCCCAGTCATCTGTATTGACAGGATTATCAGAAAAGGAGCTCTTGAGAATATTGTATACAGATTTTGTATAGGGTGACAGAAATACCTGCGTGTAACCACAGGCATGCAGTCCACCACCTGGGTAACATTCACTATCGGGGATTGAAACGGCCAGGGAGGTGGCCCTCAGCATATCCAGACATCCTGGGCCAAGCTGCCCATGCTGGAAGCAGGGGAGGAAATTCACTTATACTCAACAAACTTCAATTACAGGCTAAGATTTCAATAAAACATAATTAGAAAGCAATTGAAACTTTATTAAATATATTTTTTTAAATTATTGAGGGGCTGGCACTGTGATGCAGAGGCCACAGCCCAGGATGCCAGAATCCCATATGAGAGTTGGTTCAAGTCCTAGCTGCTCCACTTTTAATCCAGCTCCCGGCTAATGTGCCCAGCAGAACAGCAGAGAATGGCTCAAGTAGTTAGGTCCCTGCGTCCACATAGGAGAACTGGAAGAAGCTCCTGGCTCCTGGCTCTGTGGCCATTTGGTGTGTAAACCAGCTGATGAAAGATCTCTGTCTCTTCCTCTCCCTGTATCTGCCTTTCAAATAAATAAAATTTTCCAAAAAAAATTATTGCATTGAAATGAAAATTCACCTCATGGCCTCCAATTTCTTTTTGCACAGTTCCTACCAACCACTAAGTGAAGCCTACTTAACAGGCACACTTCCTGAGTCAGTAAATGCTGTCTTTTATCCCAGTCACACCCATGTTTCATTAGAAATAGCAACAAGCCAATAATTCAGTCTCTGATTGTAATTCAGTATTGGCATGAACTACATATCCTTTCACTCTGCTTTGTCTCCTTTGCTGGTGGCAATGGATTATGCAACATCATTACATAAGGACATTATTATGTACTCTTTAAAATAGGGAGCTCAACATTAAATTCTTTACACATCATTTATGAGAATGAAAATCTGATCTGAAAAAATCTTAACACAAGAAACTGAAATCCAATAGTTTATTTTTCATGGGGGAGGGAGTAATATTGAAAAGCCCACCAGTACTTCCAGTTACTATTACAGATTAGATTTCTCAAAGACTGAGACATGGCAATCCTGGGGTGTTTGCAGAACACGTACATAATGAAGATAAATGACTAGTGAAATATTGCCACCAAAAAAAAAAAAATCCACCATCAGTGTGAACAAAGATGATTTGGAAATGATCTGATTTTTAACAAAGATTTAACACTTATTTTACAATCATATATTCTATTGGATGCTAAATATTTAACACATAATTTATAAGCAAAGCATATACTCTACAAAAGGCTAAATGTTTAACACATTTTATTTTAAAGCATATACCCTACAGGGGGCTAAATGTTCAACACATTTCACTTTTTAAATATATTCTCTATAGGAAACTAAATATTTAGTGCACATTTGCTTTTTATAAACATATGCACTCCAGGGGACTAAATGAACCCTTCATATGTTCTGAACCACTTCCTATCAGCAGGGAGCAATCACATTCTGTAAGGGTTGGAGAGAACAGGGAGATATTTGAGAAGCAGCACTAATCTGTATTTCCGTAGTTTGAAGATCTTTTCTTCATAAAACTTAAAAATTATCATTAAGATAACATGACTCAAAGAACTGTCTGATCTAGATTAGCCTTCCTAGTTATTTCTAATTTGAAAGAAAATTAACTAGAATGTTTCATAGGACAAGATGCTAAATTAAATTTGTGGGTTTGACTGAATAAAAATCTTTAAGTTATACACAAACCTGTACAATATGATAAAGTCGTTCCCTTAGAAACTATGTACTTGAATAAGCGGCTTATGTAACCCTGGAATTTTATGGTTACATTACTGTGGAAAAGTCATCAAGAAAACGCTGAAAGCAAAGCAGTTATCTATAGATACGGCTGCTTCAAATGGCTATGAATGTGATGA